CTTCAGCAAACTTGAGGATAATTGAGCTCTTTTGCCTATTGATAATTTTGAACAACTTTTTGACGACCACCTGATGACCCGTGTCAAGGAGATGCCTGGCGATGGCACTGTTTAAAGCATTTGTTCCCTTTAGACTTAAGCTTTTTGGTACATTTTCAGAAAATCGTAGATATACATTTCTTTCTGTCCTTTGAATGTAACTGCTCCGACAGATACATGTAAATTTGTATATACAGTTGGAGTTAACATGAGAAGGATATCTATCGATTTTTGATTGCACCAAAGAGCAAGTTGTTCGATAGAGGGGGACGAGCTTAGCTGCATGATTGGCTATGGCTTGCTATGTACTCAGCCTGTTGATCATTGTAGCAATGTTTTCACCTTTATAATCAAGCTGAATGTAGATTGGCTTTTTACCAACTGTGATTTGTTTTACATTTGTGACTTCAGATCTTCCATACTTGTTAATGAAGCTTTAAGGGTACCCATTGCTTTTCAACATCCTTTCAGGAAACTCATATTCTTCCTCTAATTTCTCTGTAGAGCATATTCTCCTCGCTCCATAGTACAGAGTCTTGACTAGTTTGCGTTTAAATTTACATGTATCTGCGGGAGCAGTTACATTCAAAAGACAGAAAGAAATGTATATCTACAATTTTCTGTGCGTCGGTGGCACAGTGGTTAGGACTCTCGCCGACCACGCACATGGTCCAGGGTTCGATCCCCTGCCGGCGCACACCCGATATCTATGGTTGGCCTGTAAATTTGGGCTACCGATATCCATGCTGAAAATTCCATACTTGTACTGAAAATACGGTGTGGAATCAAGCTGTAAATCAAAATAATAAATAATGTACCAAAAAGCTTAAGTCTAAAGGGAACAAATGCTTTAAACAGTGCCATCGCCAGGCATCTCCTTGACACGGGTCATCAGGTGGTCGTCAAAAAGTTGTTCAAAATTATCAATAGGCAAAAGAGCTCAATTATCCTCAAGTTTGCTGAAGCCATTTCTATCAGGCGCCTGAAACCTGATTTATGCATCCAGAAAGGAGCGGTTATTAGTCATTTCTTGCCCTGGTAACTGGATATTTTCATCTCTCTTTCATATATATATATATATATATAATTACTGTATGCATATGTTGATCGATTGATTTTTGTTTAAAATGAACTCTGTGAAAGTATGTTAAAATTGTTTTTGTAGATATATCTAATAATGTCTTTGGCCTGTAAGCAGCTTACGAGAAGGCAACGAAATAAAAGATGGTACCACTTTATTCTGCAAAAACTGTAGTTCTTGCTTTGTTCAAATTGATGAGATTATTTAGACCATGCGAAATAATCCAGCCATACTGGAATTCATTATGGACAAGACTGGGATGAATATTTAAAATAGTTCAGATACATCCAACACCATTAATTATATATATATATCTAAACGAATATAAAACGCATTTTGAAGTGATAAGGAAAATCCATAGTTCACATGGATGATTTTGATATTAATGTGCTCGTTAGGGTGAGTGGTTTAATTACTAGAGTTTTGTATTTATTCATTAAACTAAATGTAAAAAATTTTGCTTATTGTTTTTCTTAAGTAAAAATAACGTACTGGAATTACAAAAAATATAACACAATTGTTATTTATTGCACACCATATTGTCTCTACATTCACGCAAATGAGATAAACAAATTCGGTGTATGAATTGTGTCACAGTACATAATATAGAAATGGGGTTATAATATATCAGGTAATTTGCACTTTTTACTAACTCCTGTCTTGAAATTTAAGCGACACAGTAAACTGTCAAAAAATATGCAGTGTATTACTCAGATTCGAAGTGACAATATCTGATTGGTGAAAGAATTAAATCCAATTTATTCTCGTTATTTATCAAATGAAAATTCCTTAAGTGTAATCAAAGTGAACAATAAAGTTAGAATTTATTTCTCATTGAATATAAATCAACCATCCTTAGTTAAACGCTGAATTAGCATGGTTGGCCGGTGAGAACTGTGTAGAAGTTTAATAAAATACCGATTTGCGATGAACTTTGAATCAATAAAGTTTGCACCTAATATTTTTTTATATGATACAAGAGACAGTAAAATCCCACAAGTCATTAATTCAAATTCCCTTTCGTTTAGAAAAGAAGGGCTGTTATAGGTAATTTATTGTTAATAGATGGCTACATTCTATTCCCTCACTCAACAGCCCGGAATTCATAAGGTGACTGAGATCCTGTTACCATGTGATCTCCCTACGTTGATCTTCAAGGTAGAAATTCACACAGTCAATCTTTGCTGGCAATTTATCCTTACATAAGTTATTTATTTCAGTGATAACTAATACGGGTAAATACTGTTTGCTGATGCCTTGAAATGTTTGGAATATTTTATCTAAAAATATATTCTATAAAAAATTCATATTTGATGATGAAATATAGTTTTGGGACTTGGATAAAAAACATAAAATATACATAAGATTGCACGTGAATAAAAATGTCGAGTCAGATGTGTTCAAAGTCTGAGCATATTGACTATCCAAACGACGTTAAAAAGACAAAATGATAACTTTCAATGTAAATGATACGATAACGTATTGACATGGTATCTCTGTTTTTCACCGGACAAAATTATTCTGCGGTGGAATCATATTCTATCATATCGTCTATATGATAACAAAAGATGAAATAAGTCCAAATAAAAGTGCACGTCTTTCGAACGCATCTTGGAAAACTATCAGGCATAGTTATCAAGAGGAAAATATAATTCAATTACCAGCTCGTTTCCCAAGCATCTAATAATTTAGGACCACTTAATTCCACCGGAATCCTCTTTTGAAACTTTGTTCAAAGTAAGACACAGTGATGAAATGAATGTTAGCTTTTGACACTTATGTATGGAGCAAGCGCTTGTGATTCGTCAACTCAAACCAGAACTGTGTAGAGAAAATGGGGTTTTGAAATCATCTCCCTTGACTTTTATTATCTCCTATAATAACAACTCTGACCTTGTCAAGTTTCAAACATTCCATCTATTGTGTCACTGATTATTACGTAGCCTATTTTTGTATCTTGAATCTACTTGTGAATAACTGTATCAACTAAGTCACCTCGCTCCCATTAGTAAATAACAGACTGTTATATGTTTTAGTAAGTATAAACATAATTTTGCAGCTATTCGAGATGACTTCGTCGATAAAGAATATTTTCGTCGCTGCACAATTTTTATTTTCTTCTTGACAGGATCGATTTTATTCAGTTAACAACACTAAATGGATCAGCATACGTTAAGATACAAGAAGTTAAAGCCATTGGCAATCCCTACGTTAGATCAAAATTTTTCACTGATTATTTACACATTATGTATAATTTAGTGTATTTATTTATGAGTAAACCGATTGAAATTATGTATATTTCATTTCGGTGTCTACAAGTATCACTAAGTGAGTGAAATGTAGATCACTTCAATTAATTTAGAGCAATAAATAAATATATCTATCTCATACATTTACACTTTCTTTTTCATAGAGTGAAAAATTCTTTTGCCAAATATTCGTCACTGGTGGAACAGTCTTTTTGCCTGTTTTCAAGAAATAGTACTAGTCACTAATTCATAGAGATGCACTTAAACAGACAACTGCACAGCATGAAATATTTATAATTGTGAAAAATTCATAAAAATTCAAGACATATACATTGCGTGCTGTCAATATCAATATGACAGTACTGATTGAAACTCCCATCACAACTTATTCAACAATATGTTAGGCTGCTTAGTTCAGTTTTTGACTTTTTATCAAGAGACGGACTCATTAGTGTGAGTTTTGCAGACCAATTTATCTTGTGTCAAATGTTTTATAGCTGTAGTGGGTCTCCTATATAGAAAAAATGAAATAATGAGACGGTGGAATCAGTTAACCTACTGCAGTGGTATTTTATTTCTGACAAATATCAAAGAAATTCACCTACCTGGCTTGCGCATATTCCCTTATCACCGGTTAAATGTTAGATCACTAGGCAACCTGTCATCATTTTGTTGTTTTTTATACTTTCTGCTAACATTGTGCTAAAATCATAGTAGGTGAAGAACCGAAATAACTGTTTACTAGATTAATGGTTTAATTAGATTATTGTCATTACTGTCTACTGAACGCAAGTAAATATCACATGTGAATAACTTATTACCTGCGTAGACATTCCACCTTTCCTTTCTTTCCTTCCCTTTTCTTTCAGAATTACCCTGTAAACAATTTATATTTCAAACATTGTTACTAAGGTTTGCATCTAGTGAAGAAAATTCCACTTATCAATGTGTGTTACATGTATGTGTGCATTTGTGATGGTGTTGGATTCTTCTGTTTTAATTTTTGTCAGCTAACTAGTCCACTTTTGATTTTACGCATTAAGAAGTGGACTGAGTTATCTTTATCTTTATTCTTTATATATCAAGGTATATAAAATTGTAAATACAACTACTGATGTTCTGTTTTTGCTGTTTTGACATCGGTTTCTTCAGTTTGTTTACCTGTTGCTGTTGTTGTTATCTTTTTGTTTTCATAGCTTGCATTCATCACAGCTTGAATGAATTGCCTTACTAGGTTGGCTATATATTCAAGCATCAAAAAATGTCAAAGATAAAAAAGAATAAATAAATTTTCTACTGTCTTTTCGTTTATATGAAATATTCATCTAGTAGAGATTCATTTTTAATTTTTGGATGTGTGTGTGTGGGCGTATTTGAGTATTTAACCACAGGAAAATTTAATAAATGTTTGTGGAATTCGTCTCCCTCTACTTGACTTTTACCGTCGTTCCACGTTATTTAATAATAATACCAACAATGACAATCACAGTTAAACAGAAATGGTAAAGATAATTACCATTTTGTGTGATTTTACTTTTGTTTCACCTTATTTCTTCATACTTTTTGTTTCTCCATATGAATAAATAGTTATCATAATCTTTTATCTGTTCTCTTTTACTTTTCATTTTTAGGAAAATGTTTATCGGTGGCCTGAGTCCTACTACAACATCTGGTGAGTTGAGTTTTAATGCTTCTGGCCTTTGTCATCAACGTCGTTCTTTTCATTCCTATCTTCATTTCCCTGTCTCTTAATCCCACATCAACACAGTATATAATTGAAAGTGTATTACCCTGTTTACTAAAAGGAAAGTGGAGTTGAATTTATTTATTCTCCTTACCATTGATTTCTTGGGACGCTTTAATCCTTTATACATATTTACCCTCAAGTATAGGAATAACATATGGGACATTATGATGAGATTTTCATATCGGTAAAGAGTTTTTATCTGTAACTAATATGTTGTGTTCATCCGTTTTCTAAGTTGGCATCATTGCGTAATCCTTTGCCCCGGAGATTAAGTGGGAAGGTGTATTCAGAAATAAATTTGTTTAGTTGGAGGATTTCATCGGTTAGAGAACCATTGGAAATCCTGGGAGTAGTAGGTTATGTGGGGTTACCTGGAGCAGTTACCTGGGGTTCTAGTGGGAAGCTGTGACCAGCTGGGTACAGAAAGTCGAAGGTGAGGACGGTTACTTATCGAAGACATTGCGAAGAGGTCGCGTTATGTCGTGACTTGGCAAAAGCTGGAATTCATGGGATGTTCATTGGATCGGGTTCCAGTGGCTTAATGATCTACGAGCTCGCCTTGTAACCAGAAGTTCCTGGATTCAAACTCCAGAGGTTGGTGCGTGATGATGAAGAGTCTCAAACTAGGACGAAACAGTTGGTTGTCCAGTACTCTCAGAGTTTCTATGGTTGATTAAGCAATGTCAGTTCATGATGAAATCTTCCAACCAATCAAACAAAATTCCTAGAAACCAATATTTGATAAATGAATTTGTATTAAAAAAATATATATATATATAGGTTACGTTATTTACAAATACATGCACACAAAAATTACTGGTTAGGTGACATTTTAACCAATGAAATATTAATGCCGAATCGGTAAACCACTGGACTGTAGTATCCCAACGTATCATATCTGCAGTACTGAACACTATACTGTGAAAAATATCCATCACACTGGGATAGATATGTTCATTCCGATACAGTGAGTGTGTCTTCATTCAGTGAACAGTGTGGAATTAGTGAGTTAATTTAAAGAATACAGTTGATCATATTGATTCACTTTATCATTTACTGGGATCAAAAAGAGTATGTCATTTCGTACAAGTGTCTACGAGGAGAGTGAAATCGATAACTCGATCAGTGGGGAGAAAGACTAGTAAAATCATTTCTACGTTACCTTGTTATGCAAAACATTTGTGGCTTTTATTTTAACTTTTGCATTAGAGCCTTCATTTAAACCATTAATCTAGTTACCTTTATTTATTTGCACTTTTTTTATCAATGACTTTACCTCTTCGTCTATACTGATGTGAAGTGAAATAGCTTAGATTGTCTTGCCTATAAATCTTCCTTTGATCATAGGGTTCTACTTAAATTTGGCTTAGATAATGACAATACCTTTTTTATGAAACCAATTAAAGGTTCATATTAATCAATCAGCCTTCAATTGTCTAATGTGAAGGACTGCGTACCAGAATGTCAAGAATTTGTGTAGACCTCCTTTGATTACTTTATCTAGTAGAAAAATATCATACCTATTCCAGTTTTGGATATTAATAATGTCGTATAATTATCTAATTTGCGATAGCATACAACTTTATACAATGATGAAAACGCAGATTATATACATTAGACATTTTGTTTCATAAAAGTAACTCTGGATATGGGTTTACAGGATGTTAAGATTGTTCTAGGACGATTCTGATTGATTTCGATTGGAATACAGTTCAGTGCCACAAAAAGTCAGTGACGTTGACACTAATAAAAGGAGACTGATTTCTAGGAAAACACCAATTCTGTCAAGAATGCAGCTAACAAGAATGAATATATGACCAACAGCTTAATTTCGATTACTTCCACTCACCTTGTATCAATTTAATCGGCATTAAGGACTAATGATAACAACTATTACCATCTAATAACCATTGTCAACTTAATCTTCGAAAAAAACTTCGATTCCCAATAACTGTTACAGTAATAGTCTTACTAATAAAACTATACGAATTATAATGATGTCAGCATACAAATAATTATTGTCAGAAAATAAAATGTCACAAGCTTTTCATTATCAGGGTGGTGTTCTTTGAGGATTTGTCAGTCCATGTAGTAGGATTTCAAAGCTTTATGTTAGTTAAGTTCGTTTAGTTCATTTAATGTGCTCTAACAAGAGCAGATGAAATGAATTCATTGTACCTTTAATAAATGCTTATCATAAATATCAATTTGATAAGAAACTCATTTTGATTTAATATAGTTTAAAATTTAACTGGCCTGTGAAAATTAATTCAGTTCATATTTCGATCTAATAAATAAAGCAGAAAAAACATATCAGCGCTGAAACTTACACAGAAGTTTTCGTAATCTGTAACAGCGTATAAAAATGGATTTAAAGGAAATGTGGTCATAAGGAACAGCTTCTTCACACATACAAACCCACTGGTAAAGGGAAAGAATGAATCGGAAAATAAACAAAGAGAATTAGCTATGTTAGATTGTAAAATAAAACGAATAAAAGATGATAGGCCCCACATTAACGTTTATAAAAAACCAATGCATTCTTATAGTTTTTAGACTTTAATTCATTTCATCCATTGTCTGTAAAGGCTGGATTAGTTAAGTGTCTAACAAACCGAGCAATAGCACCAAGTAGTGCAACTAAAAACTTAAATGATGAAATGAAACAGATAAATTAAATAACTATCCTATAAAATTCATTAGGAAGATCAAAAAAAGCCAAAACCAAAAGAAAAATAATGGTGAGGCTAATTATGATAACATAAATAGGAAAGAATACAAGGCATCTACAGTCTTAGCATATAAGGAGGAGACATCTGAGACCCTATGTAGGATCCTCAATAAAGCAGGAATTAGGATCGCATTCAAGCTCTGTAGGTTAAAGGACCCAGTTGACCCAACTAGACAAAAAAATATGGTTTGCAAAGTATCTTGCAATGACTGTGAGGTCAACTACATAGGTCAGACTAGCAGATCGAGGAGAGTCAGATTGTGAAAACACAAGAGTTTAGCGAAAGTTAAAATGAATGACCCCGTGAAGATAAGTGATTTAGAAAAACGCTCAGTGACTGCACTGCATACATTAACACACGACCACCTAATACGGTGGAACAGGTTTATAATTCTAAGTAATATAAGTAGGTGGAGAGAGAGGTTGATTACTCAATATTTGTTCATCGAATCTACACCCAACACTTGCAATAGGAATAAATTATCACTCATGCCAGAAATATGTGCGTCTACCAGTTTGGTTGTAGCTGCGGAGCTGTCTACGCTGGGCGTACAATTAGGTAGGTTCTCCAGCATATTTCCGAACATCATCCGACATGGTTAGGTTAGGTACAAACCAGATTTATTCGTAGCTCTGTCTGAGAACACCTTGTAGAAAGTGAGCACTCCTACCAATCTTAATTCTGATTCACGAGTTCGTCTGCTACATACAACTGAAACCATAGGAATCCACCTGAAGAAGCCAAATCTGTGTGTTCAGAGGAAATTCGTACGGCCACTTTCTTTACCTTGGCCATCGTTACATGAATGTATAAAAAAGACTAATTCGACCTTTCCCGAAACCTTTTAAAAATTATAACTGTCCAAATTATTTTTCTCAATACTTCATCTTTTATTACAAATTATTATTGTCCAAATTGTTTTATTTTTGTTCAGTATTCTGTTACGTAGTCAATCATAAGCTTATTCCTTAATTACTCTCCGCTTTTCCAAAATTACTCATTGTGCATATATAAATATATATATATATATTAGAGTAGAACCAGAGATGAGGATCTAATTGAATAGTGAGTATTTTTTCGCTCAGTCCTTTTTGCTTTTTAAATATAGAAAATGTTACTACCAATCAAATCAGGAAGTAAGAAGTAGTGCAACCATATAAATGAAGTTGGAAAGTTGCGTGAGTAACTTGTTATGATTAGGAGAAGTAAGAAATTGTGCTGGAAACGTGTTCATCAGTAAATATTACTGTATAACACTGTGAGACTTTATAAAAATAAAATTTTATCCATAATGGAATTATACTCTACCACAGTGCCGAAGTTTTATCCTTACATCCTTTGAATGCTTTTGATAAGTATGCTTACCTGTTTTCATGTTACTTACTGTTCCTCGACTAAGCTATTTCTCTTCCATGTTTATTTTCGTTTAACTGATCTAAGCAAACCTCCCAAACCTCCCAAGTTCATGTTTCAAATAAAAACAAATATCCCACAAGACCCGTTTTCAATTGCTTTTAGTGATTTGCTATTATAAATTAAGATGATTGGTAGAATGATTTATTTTGGTTGTAAAAATAAAATATGTAATGAAGCAACTGCACTATAGATGATAGAAGGAGCAATGTTAAACATCGATGGATTTTCACCTGAAATGATTGTCAATAGACAACACTACCTTGACTGGTATGGTGAATACCATTCGTTATCGTGATCATCTTAAAACTACATTGACATTTCCGATATTAGTGTCCACCTATTTCATGTGTTTAATTCAACCACATAAATTTAACATGAATATCTGTGCAGAAAGATATAACTAGTAGTCATTACGATAAATCTTATAAAAATTTTCCTGAAAGGAACTTGATTTACAAGATAGCATTATACATTTATCGCCCTACGCCAATATTAATTTAGATCGGAAAGGTGACTTTGATTCATTAAAAATGTAAACTTAACAAATAACGTTTGAAAGAATAAAGTAATAACTAAAATATCAACTATAAAATATGACAATTATGAATTTTAATTCTGTCTGATATAGATGTTTGGAAAGAATTAGGCTAGAACTCAATTAACCTTTCATTCAAAATTCACAGCCTGTAAATAAGCATGGGAACGTGCACCGCATACAAAAGTGAAATGCACTGAATTCATTGTCATTAAATATTCGAGATTTTCGTGTCATAGAAAATAAATGAAATGACGATAAGTGAATAGAAAGTAATGTGCGTTCAACGTCAGTGTGTACACTCACACTCGTCAGCTTATTTAACAAATGTCCAGAAGTCATGACACTATCTAATTAAGGCAGTGATAATAATCATGTTTATAAATTTTACATGGCACAACCTTCAATCCATGCATATCCCACTTCGAGAAATAAATTCATTGCACATGGTTAAAAATGTAGTACTTTTTTAAAGTTGATGTTGTCTAATGCAACAGTAACAACCGTAATAATACAGATTCTCTGAATGATGGTGACTAACAAAACAAGGCCAGGACTCACGTTTTGTCTTATTTTGGAACTGTTAAGTGGGGTGTAAGTGCATTCTACAGCAAGTGGTAACGCTTCTATTGAAAGTGAGATCAACTCTGAGCGTTTCGAATGCTAAAGCTTTGTTCACTACGCAGCTGCGTCACAGCCATTTTTTGTGCAAAATGTAGAGTTCTCTTTGTTGAAATTAGTAGGCTAGGCTTCTGTCGATTTATTTTCTTGGACCAAATAACCCCATTTTGACTTCAAAACGTCGTTGGAGTATCCGTATTAGGAACTGGCATGTTGGCACAGACTAAAGACTTTTGTTCAACAGAAGTGATCAGTGGCAGATTCAGTATAATAATTTCAAAAAAAAATAAAACAAATTAAAGTTCAAACACCCGTATAGCTGCAATGATAAAATTACACATAGAAAAGGAACACCTTTATTAGTCGTGTAGTTCATAGGGAATGAATCTGAGTTTGAAACTGAATTTCTATAAAATTACGCTTCTTGTCATTATTTATCTTGAGTGCTTTGTGAGCTTTTGAAATTCATTTCTGGCAACTCTAAGGGCAATTTGATTTGACCTTTATTAGATTGCTTATACTGTTTTATTTTTTATATATTATTGCACCTTCCTGGACTAGCTAAGTTTTCAGTCATAGTATGCTGAAACACTATCGTTTTTCTATACATTTAGTTGGTGGAAAGAAAAACTGTACCATCTTCAATGAAAAGAACTAAAAATAGCTACACAGTATATTTCTAGCGTTGTGCAAAACTGTTTTCAGTTGTAGTTTTGTTATATTGTCAACTGATTTTCATCAATTATCTACTCGATCGTGTTGTTGTAGTTTGAAGATGAAATAAATTATTTTCTTCTTAATTTACAGAAGGTCTCCGGGATTACTTTCAAAAATATGGTGAACTTAGAGAGTATATGATTATGCGTGATCCCCTTACAAAAAGATCAAGGTAAGTATAAGTTGTTGTGTAAAACTGAAAACTTATTTCCCATTAGAATTTGTATCTTAATACTTAGATTCTACCTGCTTTTCAAATACAGCAAAACGTTCGTCATAGTAAACGAACTAGGCCACCACAAATTTCCCAAATATTTTAAACATTCAAAAACAGTATACATAATATTTAAAAGGTTGTCTGTATGAAGCATTTGAGTTTTCACCATAAAGACACTAGTGTAAATTTGTGTACGTATTTTTCTCTCTTTGTATAATCTTAAAGGGGTTTTGGTTTCGTAACATTTTCCGACCCAGTTTGTGTAGAAAAAGTTCTTGAAGCTGCTCCTCACATTTTGGATTTTAAAAAGGTAATTCTTGCAGTTCAAACTGTTATTTACCGAATTTCATAAATTGCAGTATTTTAATTGTTGTTGATCTTTATTCTTTTATGACTCTAAAATTTTAGTGCAAAATTCGTTAAAATATTTCAGATGATGTACAACTGTGTCATCAAAACAATGAGATTTACCTAGATGATGGACTTCAATATTTAGCTTATAGCTGACAGTTATTACGATGTCATGGGGACATACATTTTTGTACATTTTTAGGCACGGTTTTGAACTTCAAGAATAATTAACTCAATATCAAGAAAATAGATAAATAGCGTGGAGCGCGTGGACGACATTGTCGTAGTGGGTGATAACTGGTACAAAATACAAAGAATTTCGCACACGCTAACGAAAACCGTGTTTGGCGAGCGACCAACATTTTCCAAATATATGATGATGCGCTTATTTATAGCTAAAAATTAGAAACTTAGATAGAAGGAGATGTTGAATCTTCAACTATTCGTTAAGATCCTTGGGCTTCAAAGAAGTATTCAGGGTGGAAGTAACAGCAACTATATGAAAGACTCTTATAATTTGTTCACTTGATTCTTGCGTGGAACTATGGAGTTTTCGACTTATGAATGTAAGGAATTTGTACTCTGAGACAGTTCGCTCCTTTACTGTTAATGGCTAAAACAATGCAATCGAAAACAGGTGTGGAGAGACTAACGTTTTTTAACTACATGTATTTCCGTAGTACTACTCATTTCATTTGAGGCCAAATAATGGGTAGTATTTCAGCAGATGCACAGTTTTTAGTAAAGAAGGTGAATGGGTCTATATGAATCTTCATAGAATAAGTTGGGTGGATTATGTATTACACTCGTTATCTCATTCCCAAGTGAGTGACTTTGTCTGAAGTAGGGTAAGGTTTAAAAAACAGTTATCTAGGTTACAGTTAGGTGCTGTCCGTGAGTTCTTTGATTGTTCATATAAGGTATATAGAAAATTGTAGGTTATTTGGGATTGCTTTATGTTAGGAATCAATGTTTAGTGGATTTTGTTAACATTAATGTTAAACAGTACAAATAATTCCATGAAGAGTCTTTCTTTGGGAATTTCTTTTCCCTTAGCTATGCTATTGAAATTATATCTATTTTTCCACATAACAGGACAGTGACTAAATAGATGAATTGTCATAAGCGTAGTCGTCATTATTAATGAATATGGAAGAAAAGTTGAATAAGGGTGATGGTGTTACATAATGGGATAGATAATATAATGAATGAGTTGTAATCAGAATGCACGTAGAAGCAAAGGAAATAAGTGCAGAAGAGTCAGAAAGAGTTGAAATACAAAAGAAAAATTGGCTGAAAACAACGCTCGCCTAGAAAAGTTGCGTCGGTGGCACAGTGGTTAGGACTCTCGCCGACCATGCACATGATCCGGGGTTCGATCCCCTGCCGGCGCACACCCGATATCTATGGTCGGCCTGTAAATTTGGGCTACCGATATCCATGCTGAAAATTCCATACTTGTACTGAAAATACGGTGTGGAATCAAGCTGTAATCAAAATTAGAAAAAAAAATTTTTTTTAATTAACTGTTTCGTTTTTTATTAATGACTAGTTCGGGATTATTCATGAACACTAATGCAGATGTGTTTAATCACTATTATTCTTGGAATTCTCTGTATGCTTACTACCTCTCACCACGTCATTTTCTCGTGCATATGCATCTCCTTTTTGTGTTTGATAACTACGCAACGTTCAGTGATGAAGCAATCGTCTATATTTCAATAGATCATCTCTGCAATTTGATGAGATGATAAGTGCTAAATTTTAGTTATCTCTGAAAGTGAATACCTCCAGTCTACTAATTGATAAAACCTCTGTAGTGTACATAAACTTTCTTCAATAATCTATAGCAGTATTGATCCTGGTTTTACCTTGTGTCATATGTTGACTCACAACACATAAATTTTCAAGAAACATTATTATTTTGAAATAAATCACTGTCATAAGCTATTGTTTTTATTACAACTTGAGAATACCTATCCAGATTTTAAACTGGCTGGAATTTCATTCTAGTACCAGTGAATTAACACAATTTTCGGTAGAGTTAAATCAGTTTTTCTTTCATCTTTTATATGAAGAACTTTTAGTTTGATTTATAATGAGTGTTGATTAAAAACTTTACTAGAAAAGGAATGTTATATTGAATATTTGCTAGTTTTATTGTGAAGAACCTATTTTTAAAGTTATTCAAATGAGAAACGTTTTTCAGTCAGTCATTCTGTGCATATTTTTGGATTGATAGGTTAGCTGTCCTTATCTGAAGTGGAACTCATCTATCCCAAACTATTTTTGTCTGTCTCTAGATGGAAGGCACAATTATTAGGTGGTGACCAATTATATTATCCAGCTGCTCATGCTAAATGTGAATGGGATTACAGACTTATCATACATAGTCACTTTTTTTAGTCGAAATACATATGAATATTCTGCTGATGTCAAACACTTTCGCATAGGACATCTGTCTAGCCTATCATCGTATTTGTTCTTTAAGCGACTTGATTTCCTTACATAAGTCACAAGTATATAACAACTAAAATTCAACCATTATTTACTGGCTTTCTGAAATTCAAGGAGAACTTGCCAGTAGGTTTCAACCTACCGTGCATCAAGCAGATGCTCATCGATGAAGCTGGAGAGCATTATATCATGAATTTGCAGAAGTTATGATTCACTGGTCATTTAGTTTCAAGCTAGTAGCTGAACGGTCAACAAGCTTGCCTCATAACCTGAAGCCCCGCAGTTTGATCCTTGGTAAGATCATAATTGCACGCTGCTGACAAGACAAATTAGGTTTTTAGTGATTCTCTAAGTAATATTTATATATGACGAAATCTGTGTTCGAACCAGTACATCACTTAAATATGCTTGAGTATAAAATTGCTTGTAAAATTTTAAAACATAGTAGAAAGTATTACTTGGAAAGCAATTGTTAAGTATTTATGTATAATATAATCCTGACCATCAGAATGTGAATTTATAATTTACAATAACCTACATTTTAGATTGATCCAAAACTTGCAGTTCCTCGTAAACCTGGACAAAATGCAAAAGTGAGTTCTGTGTTTAATTAATATCACTGCACTAACTTCCGTCGTATATGTTATATTTTGTACAAATGTGATTTTTTTAACTGATTTCCTGACTGGCCCTATTCAGGCAGTTAACCTGGGGTTCTAGTGTGAAGCCGTGACCAGTAGGGTACAGCAGGTTGAAGATGAGGCAGTAACTCATCGAAGAAGACATTGTGAAATTGTCGCGCTATGTCGTGAATTGGCAGAAGTTAGAATTCAAGGACCATTGGATCGGGTCCCAGTGGCTCAATGGTCTACGACGTCGCATTGTAACCATTAGGTCCTGGGTTCGAACCCTGGTAGGTACGCACTGATGAAGAGTCCCAAACTAGGACGAAACAACTGTCCAGTACTCCCACGTTTTCCAGTGGTTCTCTAACTGATGTCAGCTCATGATGAAATCCTCCATGCAATCAAACATAATCCCTACAAAACCAATACTTGGAAATTCTTAAATATCTTGAATAATTTATTTATGATTTATAATCAGGGAATGAGAGGGCGTTTTTCATTACAACCTAAACGAGTCCCAGTTTTGCAATAACTAATATTTAGTTGTGTGTATAGAAAAATGCCCTATTTTATATATACACGCACCATCCATTTTTATTGCTAGTCGGATGCCTAATTTATTTTTTTAAAGGAATAATAAGAGTCCACTGCTTATTTTGTGCTTACAATGGCAAATTAGTTTTTTGAGTGTACTAGTGATTGACTGACTGACATGAGTAGTTTGGTGTCACTCTCACTGACCAGTAGGGCTTGATACCCATATATAAGCTATCTAAACATCTGGCGTTTGTTTCGCTCCATTGAAACCAAGCTTATCAGCGGTGTACGCTTTCTGACTGAGCTCAGAGTGCCAAATTTGTTAAAACAACACCTAAATTCTTAGACGAATTGTCAATACATTGGGTCAAATTCACAATTTGTGAATTATCAACTTAGTTCTATCATTTTTTAATTGAAGTAAAGTCATCATCATCATTTATGATCAATAAGAATTCTAATTGTAGATATTGATGACCGAAAATGATGTATTAGATGCATTGATTATGCTAGAATAAATTATGCTTATTGTTCAAGCCGTTCTTGATGGGACCAGGTATAAATGCGCACCTTCTGAAAGAGTTTATTGTTTATTGATTGATCAATAGGCAGCGTACAATATTATTTATCTGGTCCTCAATATTGGCGTTAAGTGAATTCAAGTCTGTAGTGTCATCATTGTCTTCTACACAGCAATAAGTAGAAAATAATGAATTTAAAGGAAGTGCGTCGGTGGCATAGCGGCTAGGACGCTCGCCGACCATGCACATGGTCCGGGGTTCGACCCCCGGCCGATGCACTCCTTTACCTCACTAAACCAGAAATAAGGCTGGTAAAGAGGAAAAGTTGGGCATGAAACTAGCAACCTCATCCTGTCAAAACAAACACTGCTACAGAAACTTCAAGCTTCTAGCTTGAAGCCCTATGTTCCACTGGAAACGTGAAGGAATAAAAAAAACTCATCTTCTTTTTACATTCATATTCTGTACTGTCTACTAAGAGCAACGAAAAACCATTAACAAAGACAACTCGCTGCATGAAATCCTTTTACTTTTATACAAAACTGACTTATTTCCGAAATTTTTTCCTTATATTCACTATTTTCTGCAGACTAATATAAACATGACATATGTTTGCTTTTGGAATGTCAAACATTTGCTATTTATAATTCATTGATAATTCTAATCGCAATAATTACACTGTTTAAATGACCCGCACTTTACAATTATATTCACTTTTTCACAATCATAATCTTTGCACACTCAGTATCTGTTGCTATACATCCAACCACTTATCGACCCAGCCGCAGTTATGGCTATGAAAAAACACAAATAGACATAAAGAGCTTATTACCAGTAGTACCAGCAGATAAAGTGATTTAGTGTCAGTCATATCAATATTATTTAGACATCCTTATCACCTCCGCAGATAGATTTTTATTAATTCATACGTAGTGAAAAATTGACAAAATATAAAATCAGTGTTTGTGATAACATGATTTATGTTTACCGAAATGACTTATCTTTCAATAGTGATCATCAGTAGCTCATTTATATAAATATTAACACATGAGAATATTACCTTACGAGAAATTTCGAAAAGTCATTTTTAATTATTTACTTCAAGATTTGACGATCCATTTTCTATAAATGACTTGTTAGACGTCAACTCATTGTCCTTTACCATAACTGATTAATTCATATTTCCATGAAAAAATAAGGTCACGAGAAATATATAATTATTCCTTTAGAAAAAATGACCTGTCATTTGGAATTAGGTCGTTAAGTCCTGAAGGGTTATTATGCTGTTAATCTGATGCTTTAGATTTCTTTTTACCTTAAAAATGTACGCAATCTTTCATACACTCTTCTGAGAATAATCACGTTTTTTAAATTCATTTGCAACTTGAGTAGAATATAAGTCTATAGCCATTTGAATTTGTGGTTGCTTGCCTTTTACCAAAATTTTTTCCTTCTCCGGTCTTACTACCGACTAGTAAACCAGATGAGGTTCAGGAGGGAATCATGTGAGAATTGAATCCAGACCTCCCATGTAGCTAGGAAGCATTCTACCAATGAACCATCAACGCACTGGTAACTCCGAATGGAATCGAATCCTCAACATTTGAGTTACAAGCATGTCATTATTGGGTGGTGAAACGATGACCTGTTTAACAGTTAGTTTTTCAGCCCGGGCGGTAGAGCGCTGTACTAATAATTTGGATGATTAGAATCCTGCTGCAGCTCAGGTTTTCAATTCACATACAGTCATCACTAATCACATCACTGATCCCATAATTTAAGGACACTAATCTTCATTATTATTTCGTTTTCTTCATTTGCATGTCTGTTCAACAATTTTTACTGAAATTTAGGAAATGGGGATTTTTTTTTCCTTGAAATCGCTATGTTAGAAGAAGTAGTAAGAGAATCAGGTGATGGGTTTTCGTAGAGATTCGGCCAATTTCAATTAAGGTTGTAACATGTGCCAGTAACAGTTGAAGAACCATTCAAAATCAAGGAGTATTGAAAACTGATTTTATTTTAACTTAAGGGTTATTTAGTGATTCGTTTCTCATAATTAAACTATTAAAATAATTTTCACCCAAAACTTTTAAATTATATCTAGTCTTTGGATAGAACGTAATGGTTTCACTAAATGATAGGTTTGTATAAGAAGAGACACCTAGGACTACAAAAGAAAAATATGAATACACTCCATACATCTAAAGATGCATATTCAATCAAGATAGTTTAGGATGCACCATAATTTCTTCTCCTCAGTTATGATAACTTTATCAATAACAGGTGTGTTATAACTCAAATTTATTGATTCCAAGGTAAATTTGCAATCTTATCTTTCTGTGAAGTCATAATACCGCAATATCCAGTATATGTGTATATATGTGTTTCCCTCTGAATGACGACAAAATTGATTTTTCTCAATGGCAATTTACTAAAGATGTATTACCATCTATTAGCAGGCTCAGTACATATTCAGTTATTCACACCGTTTATGAAGGTGAAAAAGCTTTCATTATTTTTTTCATACGCATGTTTGTTAGACATTGGTGTAATTACAAGTAGTCGTAAACATATATCTGTCAAAAGTAGGTGACGTTATTGAATTGAACATCTTCGGTATTTCTTGTCTTGGTAGCATTGTTGTTAAGTAGATCTATTTGAACTACAAATCTAATTATGGAATGATGTGATGCACACAATCTGTTGGTGTGATTGACGGAAATACTTGAAAAATATTTCCTTACAATGATAACTGACTTCTGTTGATCAAGTGGTCAGATTTACTGTTACATTTAACATGGTTGTAGATAGCACCATATTTACAGAGTTATTCTATGAAGATTGCTCAAACAAGCTTAATTCTTTTTGTCTTTGATACATAACTGATGCGAATTAATGTAACGTTGCCTTTAGTTAAAAAGATATGAATTTCACCTTTCAGTTGTCCAATCGTGCGTATTATTTGAACTTATCATACTCAGACTCTTCAATTTAACACTTAGTGGAAAGTTCGCTGGTGACGAAATAGCTGAGATGGAAAGAAAACCTACTCGACGTTCTATAATTACGGGAAATCTGTTGAATGGGTTTATTAATTTTGATTAAACTTTCATCAGCAAACCAGAATTTTGCAACAGTGTTTAAATTTACATCTGTCAAATGTTGAATGTTTACGGACAGTTTTATTTATCATCTTAATTAGTATTATTAAATGGGTCAATATTTAGAAGGCATTTCAATTTTGATGAGAATAAGACACATGCATGTCTTGCATGACTTCAGAGAATTCGATGAAACAATAACTGACATATTGATTATTCAGATGAATAAATCAAAAATGACAGACTGAATGAGAGAAATTAGTTGCCAAAAAAACCTTGAGTTTATACAGGGTGATGTTTAGACTGCCAGGTTCCTGTGGTAGTGAAAAAAATGTCAGACTGTCGAAAGGATAACTGGTAATCAAAGGGTTACACTAGAGTTAATAGCAGGTTACACTTCATACTACTATTATTGTTATATTTTCAATTGTATAAATGAATTTATATGCCACAGTAGTAATTATAAATAAACTGTATATTTGTATAAGTACGCATAAACCAATTATCACACAACAAGCATAATCATTCATTAACAATTGCAATTATATTATGGGAGAAAAGTAAGAACAATGAAAGTTATGGTAACACTTAAACAACCTCCATTTTATATTGTTTGTGTGTACAGTTAAACTATTCCCAATTTCAGCTTTTATACGAAGCATTAAGGTCGCAATAATAATAAGTTACATAACATTTAATAAATTAATGCTATGATTACGGTAAGTGGCACTGTTTACATTTGTTTAATTTACGCAGATTCTAATTTTGTTCATACTTCTTATAATGCCCCCACGTATAGAATTAC